GTAATTGAAAATCCTTTCCATTGAACCTCTTTCTGGAGTACCTTCATAAGGTTTCAATGTGTAATCATTGAGAGCAAAAGCTTTATCGCCTAGAATAAAATAGGGCACTGCAATTTTATACGGTATTTGTAATATTTCTGGTGAAGGAATGTTTAATTCCTTCTTTTCGACCTTTTTATATAAATTGGTATTTTTAAACACACCGCCATCTGATATACGTCCTTTGCTGCCAACGTCTACGTACAGAAATTTATAGTTAGCGTCAACTAAAGCAAACAGCACTATACTTGGAAACAATTTGTAACAGTCATAATCATTGCCACTATTTATCGGCGACTGTAATATAACATGCTTCCCATCCATTGCTCCTATGACATGTGGGAAATTCCATTTGCTCTCAAACTCTTTCGCTATGGTAAGCCACTCTTCTTCGGATGATGGTATCTGTAAATAAAATTAAGTAATAATTTCTATCTTTACAGAATGCAAGTCTGGATAATACTCGAAATGATGACGGTTATAACGAAGAAAAAAATGAAACTTCAAACTCGACGACAACGGAAGGACCTAAACAAAAGTCAACTAGACCTAAAAAGAGATCCAAAATGAACGAAAGTGATGATCTTACTGATAACGCCATATCTGAAGCATTAACACTCTTACAACAGTGTGCAAGCGATAATATATCAGAAAAAAATGATCCCTATAATGTGTATGGCCAATATATAGGAAATGAGTTGAGAAAGTATGATAAAATTACATTAGCATACGTAAAAAATGCAATAAATAAAATTATCTTTGATGCAGACATGGGAGCATACAGTGGTTATAGTTATTATACTCAATCATATGGTGAACACGATAATTTAAGATATATGTCTCATCCCTCTTCCTCATCGACGCCATCTACATATTCGATGCCTGCTGCCTCACCAATGCCTTCTACCTCACCGATGCCTCCTACTTCACCGATGCCTCCTACTTCACCGATGCCTCCTGCCTCATCGATGCCTTCTACTTCACCGATGCCTGCTGCCTCACCAATGCCTCCTATCTCACCAATTTCGATGCCTCCCCCTCCTCTTTCTCCAGCTCCTCATCATTAAATATTTGTTTGTTTAATTTTCTTATATTATTTGTCCAATTTTCTAATCAGATTAATAAAAAAAATAATAAAAATATGTAATTTTATTTTACCTTAACATAATCCTTTAACACCTCAATTATAGCATCACAGACTTCAGGAACTATAACCGATATCCTTTGTTTTGATATACGAAATAGATACTGTAGACTGGTATAAGAATCTCCTGTGGCCAAAAATCTCAACGTCACTAATAATCTTTCCCTAGCGGATATTGCTTCTCGAAAATTTGTGTCCTTCTTGCTTATTTTGGCGTTTATGAGAGAATACACATTGTCAAATTCGATTTTACTCATTCGAGTGAAATTTTTTTCTTCGTCATCGAAGCACAACTCTTCAAATAATCTGTTCCCAGCCTGTAATCTATTTTTGTATAAGAGTTTAATCCAAAAACGTTTAGTTTTCTGTTTTCTTTTTTTTTGCAAGCCTTAGAATTATTAAAAAGGCAGTGGTAGCGACAGCTTTCCGAATGTGCGGCCTCATGGTGGTCTCGGGCAAACTATACGGGCACGCGCGGTCTCTATTCGACTTCATGTTAAACTGAGCGTCGATGCTCACGATGGCTCGGACTTGCCGCGCGAGGCAGCCTCGGATTAGAAAACTTACAGACCGAGGCTGCCTCGCGCGGCAAACGTTGCGAAGCAAACGTCCGAGGCTGCTTCGCGAGGCTGCTCGCTCAGTCAGTACGCGGCTAGTGACGTAATTTTAAAGCTTTGATTAATCTCAATTACCCGATGTAAAGGAAAACATCGTGTGGAAATCGGAGACCCAAAAAATCGACAGGCTTCTGTGCCTGTCGATTTTTTGGGCTGGAAGGCCTACTTGTCTGTTAGAAAAAACAAATGATCTCGAAACAGATACAGATATCTGAGGCCCAGAGCTAAAAGGTTGTAACGCCATGGTATATAATTATAACCTGGCGCAGTATAAAACTTTTTCTCAGTATTTATAAATTACTGGATGTGCTCTGCTGTTCTACTCGTATTAATTCGGTGAAGAGCGATGTTCTGAAGCGTAAAGCTGTAGAGTTTTAGATGCAATAAGAATATTTTATTGTTCGACATGATATTGCGGATTATTGATGTCTTGTATAATACTGTACATCACTTTGTTCTATTGTCAATAGTTTCCGCAGCGTAGTATAGGAATATTCATTGGTCTTTTTAACACCAATTTTGTAATTTGATACAGAAGCCTAACTTTTTTGAAACCATTTAACAGCTTATATTATCAGGGATAACGTCGGGTTCTAATGACAAAATAATTTTTCAAATCAGTCCTTTTGGAACCTATTCAATGCAAACAACCAATTAAATCGTTTCTCTTTATAATAATACTGTAGATGAAGCTTTTGCGATTACTATTTTTACTAGTTAAAGATCTTTTTAACTAAATAATATAAAAGACACGTTAAAACACTAATCATTTCTACATTTTTTCTATTTTATTTAAAACCTAAGTTTATAGGAATGTTTAACAATGCTTCTACGAAAATAGTACTAGATTCTAATTGCGTTCTAGATAGAAATTGATAAAGTAAAAATTAAAAGAAATCAAAAAGTTTGGTCCCTGTGGCAGTGTACCTTTAAAGCTGGCAGCATTTCCTCACTGTATTGCGGTACTTATTCGTTGAGCGAGGAGAGCGCCAGCTCTGGGGCCAACTTAAATCGTTCGTTTGTGCACTGGAACCCCACGGCCCAAGATCTCTACTCTTAAGGAAAGAAAGAGGAAGGAAACAAAATCAAAGCTGTACGAATGATTCTTACATTTAAGCGGTTTAAAGAATACTTTTCAGTTAATAATATAATACGCATCATGAACAAAAACAATTTTATGCATAGTAAATTGTCGATGCAACTCATTTGCAACAATAAGTGGCGTTATTATAAAATAATCTAACCCCATAAGTCCGTAGAACAAAGTTCCAAACAACTTATAATAAGCAACTCAGAAATTAATATAATTATTGTGCCCTTATAGTCCACAGATAGCGGCTAGGGCTGAAACTTTCTTTAATTTTATTAACAACGACTCAAAACGCACGCATGCACTAAAAGATGAACAATGTATTTTTATTTGAATTTATTTCAAATTAAATGAGAAAAAGTTTTACAATTTTGTATAAAACATTATATTATGGGCCCAGTTTTTTGACAAGCTAACACGAAATGAAAAAAAAAATACTGAATCTGTGTGGTAATGACGTAATATATTTAATACAGGTTCGATCTTTGGTAAAACAATTTTTGGTCATAGCCACAAAGCTGATTAGCAAGGTGCTTGGCTATGAGAAACTATTGATTAAATGGGCATTTTTCACAAAAAACAAAGCGTCAACACCCACTTGCTTCATTTTATTACATTGACTAGTTAGAATGATATTCCGATAAGTCAGATTTCTTCCTAAATTTAATATACTATTATTTATCAATTACTACATACTATTATATTTTTGACAACCCTAAACCCCGAAGAGATCGATGATTGTGTGAATGAAACGCAGGATTCTGCTTCATATGAATGAAAGAGATAGAACACAAACGTGTTATTATTATAAGAAAATTGGCGCATTTATGGTAAATTCGCGGCAATGCATCTGCGCTTACATTTTTTATAAACTATATTTTCAGTTAAATCTTTAAATGAATCAAGGGTTTTTTTATAAATGTAATAAGTATATTATATATACTAGCTGTACCCATCCACGTTTCGCTGTGGCACATTGTGAATGAATGGTTGAGAAAAAAAAAATAGATTGTTTTTATCCCTTCATGCGGCTCGATCGGTGCAGAACTTTTTGAGTTTTTGAAGCATACACAAACCAACATAACTGCCTATATATATATATACAAACGCTGACTGATAACAAGATTTGGTTCGTCGTTTCTTATAAAAACAAAGGAGTGGAGCTCCTTGCCCCCTTCAATCTTCCCTAGACAGTACAATATTGGTTCATTTAAGCGGCGGTAAACAGGCAAAACGTCTGTCTAGAATATGCTAGAATGAGTTATATCTAGACTTGTCTCTAACTTTTAGCCAAAGATTTTACTAATCAACGAATGTCTTGATTATAACACATTTACCTAAAAAAATACAAAATTTTGTACAAACACTTGCAAAAACTAAAACTTAGCTTGTTATGTTCTTTACAATGTTGCATTATTAGAAACACAATAACAAATTAATGTAGTCCGCGTTGTAACCAATTACTTAACAGTGGACGGCACAAAAAGCTCCAGGTGGCGCGATCTTTGTTAATGATATATATTTATCGATATTTGGTTGCCCCTACACCTTGAAATACTCTGTCGACCACTTGAAGTTAATCACAAGTTCTTTGTAAAACACGCACATTTCACGGACTAGACATTTTATAAGTCAGTTATACCTATAGTAAAGTAAACTTTGGATCATTTCGCACCTATATTCTATGTAGCTTATTAGGGATCTTGCCTCTGTCAATATGAAAATGAAAATGAAAATGAAAAAATATTTATTCAATCACATACAATGGTAACAACATGTGGCTGGAGCCTCCATTTAAGTATGTATAATATACTTGTGTTTGGAGTATCCGCTCTTCCTAGGTACACTTAATTAGGTATGTAAGTTTAGACAAAAGGGAATAATATTACAAAAACAAAACAATATTTATACAAGTTAAAAGATGCATCGTGTATGAGTGATAAATTGAGGGGTGTTCGTTGTATTCAGTTAAGTGTATGTTGATGTGTGAGAGTGTAAGTGTGTGTGAGTGAGTGTGTATGAGGTATGTGTGTATATGTCTGTATCATATGTTTGAGTGTGTGTGTTCTTTTAGAGTGTAAGATAAAAGTAGACTTTAGAATAGTAATTCTTAGATAATAGATTCAACTTCTTCATAGGTTTGAGTTTTTAACCAACAATTTATAGTTATTTTACATTTATATTTATTCATATTATATAGATTTAATTCCTTGTTTAATTTATTATATAAGTTAGCAGACTGGTAGCAGTACTGTCTATGAGCATATTTAGTTTTAAAAGTTGGTAAAGGTGCCACATTATGCCTTCTACGTCTGTTCAAAATACTAGGATCATATCCAATATGTCGATGGGTTCTAAGAGTAGTTTGCAGTACATACAACTTACGTACTGACAGAAGATCGCTAACCGCATATAACATTTCCGTAGGGAATCTGTATGGCTTAAAATGGATAACTTTGAGTAGTGACCTTTGTGCTCTCTCCAGTTCCAGGAATTTTGTTTTAATGGCACCACCCCAGGCCGGAATGCAGTATATTAATATTGACTGCGCAAGAGCAGTATAAATTTGTTTTAGGAGGGCCGAGTCAGCTACGTGTCTTAGATTTTTAAATAACCATATGAGTTTTCTTACTCTAGCCATAACTAGTTCTATATGATCGCGCCATGATAGGCGTTGGTCTACCATAGTACCCAGGTATCTTACGCAGTTTTGCCGCTTAATAAAATCGCATGAGCATATTATAGAATGAGGTGAGCCACAAGTATGTATTTGAATAGCAAACGTCGGAGGTGGTTGAGAGGAGTTATAATTGGAGAAGCATACATAGTTAGTTTTAGAGGTATTGAGGGTCAAAAGGTTATCGCTGAGCCACTTAGCTATTCTTGCAAGGCCCTTTTGGGAATTATTTTTAACAGCCTCCCAGGTGTCAGCTACAAAAACGACAGCAGTGTCGTCAGCATAAGTGAACATTATTCCCTCTTCTATATCCATGTTACATAAATTATTAATATATACAAGGAATAGAGTGGGCCCCAATACACTTCCTTGCGGAACTCCGAAGGTGATTTCACATTGTTCACTTTGGTGTTTTCCTATTTTTACACTCTGTTTTCGATTGCATAAATAGTCTTTGAATAATTTCAAGGGAATTCCTCTTATGCCTATTTTCTCCAACTTGTCGATAAGGTCTGTAATTGATACTGAGTCAAATGCCTTTTTCATATCCAAAAACACTGCAGCACATTTTTTGTTTTTATCCACAGCATTAGTAATAAGCGATGTGAGATCCAACACGGCATCTTCTGTCGATAAATCCCGTCTAAAGCCATATTGACTTGGGGAGAGGATATTAAATGTATTAAGGTAGTTCATTAAACGTTTATTAATTATTTTCTCCAGTATTTTGGCAATAGGTGGTAAAACAGAAATAGGCCTGTAATTGCTTATATCCGTTTTATCATCTCCTTTGTACACTGGGGTAACTACAGCGATTTTCAGTGCATCTGGAAAGACACCTAGAGCAAAGCATAGATTGATCAAATGAACAATAATAGGGACAATTATATCAGCAGTTAGCTTTAAGAATTGGGTAGGAATGCCATCCCAGCCTGGAGCACTATTTGATTTTAACCCCATCAGGACATTAAGAACCTCATCATTGTCAGTATCTCTTAATACAAATGAAGTTAAGTGAGGATAATTCGAAGTAGTTTTGTCAGAACAATTGTATGCGGGTTGTTGTGCAAGGATACCTTCTGCTAGTGATTTGCCAACTTGGGTAAAATATTGATTACAATGATCTATAGACTCTTGTGCTGTTTCTTTACAGTGGAGCAGTTCGTAATTGTCGCTTTTATTTTTATTCCGATTTGTAATATTGTTGACAGTTTGCCATAATTTTTTTTGAGTTGTTTTTATTTAGAATTAGTTGCTGTTTATTATAATTTCTTTTTTAGGTTTCTGATTAATTTATTACAATAATTTCGATATCTACGGTAAGTTATTTTTAAAATTTCATTATCAGGGTCTAATTTTAGCTTTTTCTGCATGTTATTCCTATTTCTGACACATCGTAGAATGCCCAAAGTCATCCATGGCTTAACTACACGATATTTGCATGTAATGATCTTAGTGACTGTATGTAAATCTAAGGTTTGTCTTATTTTACTTAGTAAGAGCTCTATAATCATGTTGGGGTTGTTTAATGAAGTTAAGTCAGCCACCAATGTGCTATCTCTTAGAGTAGCTATCGCCTTATCGTAATCAATGAATGTTTTTGTCTTAGTGGAAGCACCTGACTTTGGTATATTGGAGAGCCTTAAGAATATGGTGGAGTGATCAGTGACAGAAGTATTTATTACATTTATATTTGCGGAATGTTTATTTTTGTCTAGTCTCAGCATAAAGTGATCCAGACAATTACCATACCGTGTAGGTAGTACATGGCCAGGTAGCAAGCCGTGCATAGCCAGCATGTTTAAATAGTAAAGCCGGTTATTACGCTCCTGCTGCGGAGCATCATTTCTGTCAATCAGGTTAATGTTAATATCCCCGGTTATAATTAAATTAATACAATTTTTCAAAGATGTTAAATGTCGGTCTAATGAGTCCGTGAAGGGCTCGGAATTAGTATGTGAAGGGGACCGGTATATTCCTAGCACGGTAACTCCACAAAATAAAATTTGGAGGCAGGATGCATGTGTTAGAATAATTTCTTTGACATTGACACTGTGTTTTCTAGAAACATAGATAACAACACCATCACATTGGTTTATATGGTTTGTAGTCGAATAAGAAGTGTAGTTCTCCATTTGGGGTATTGGTTTATCACTATCTATTCTACATTCAGTTAAAATTATCAAATCTGCTTCAAAATTAAGCTGGGCAAGGGTGAGTTGGAAATCATCTAACTTGCTGTATACCGACACAATATTCTGAGAAATTATTTTTAAATCATTTTTATGAAATTTAGGGGATTGGTTACATATGTCATGAACATCACATAAGCTAGAATTAGCCACCTCACTATTGTCAATTTCTGTTATCAATGAGATTACGTTATCCATAATTGGATGGAATTTTAAATAAACCATTCATTTTATTAGCTTGTTGGTTATGAAGTGTGTTAAATAGTCTACTTATTATGAAAGTATCGCGTACTGATAATGTGTGAATATGTTTGGAGAAGGTGTGTGTGTAGTAGTGTAGGGCCGAATCCAAGCCTTTGTTAATAAAGTATTTATGTGTCTTGGTAGTAGTAATGAGTAATGTGTGTACAATCGGGAACAAAATTTGATAAAAGAATAACATAAGATATTTTACTATGTAGTTAAAAAGATGTGGTTTGGGTGTTATTGGGGCAATATGTAAAACTAGTATGAAATAACATAATATGGTAAAACAAAAATATAAAATGGGCCGAGCAAGCAAAGACAGAGAGAGATAACAAGGTTCAAGAATTAAGTCTAGTCATTGCTCTCCTAGTAGTTTTTGGACGATTGCTTCATTATTTATAGTGATAATGGGTGAATTTTCAGATTTTCTGACGTAGACACGGCCATAGGAAGTCCAGCAAAACTTATAAGATTTTGATCTCATTAGATCTCTAGCAAGGAAGTACAGCCGAGCCCTGGAGGCGGTCAGCTGTTCTGCTACGTAGACAGGGATATTTTCTTGACCTTGTGATTTTAGTCCTAGGTGTTTAGCTCGTAATTTATCCTTGTTCTTCAAGTTGTATGTTTTACAGGCCTGTAGAAACTTCATTTTTAATAAGGTAGTGCTTAATTCAACTATTATAGGGGAACTAGCATTTCCCTCCCTCTTAAATCTTATCCTGTAAATATCATTAATGTCTTTTTCACTCAACTGACAGTTGACTGATTTAGCCAACTCTAAGGTCATAATTATAAGGTCTTCTTTTGTTTCCTTATCAGCCTTGGGTGCATTTTTTATTTCAATGTTATTCTTCAATCTATCTCTTTTTAAGTCTTCTAGCTGTCCCTCCAAAATAGAAATATGTTCCTTGTCCTTTTTCCTTTCTATTTCGAGAAGTTCTAACTTCTTTTTAAGTTCTACATTCTGTTCAGCGAGGAAGGACATAGTTGTCTGGATATTTGTGTTTGTCTTACTTATTTCGGTAAGAGTGGATTCAAGCTTTTTGGAGCCACTTTCTTGCGATTTAAACATTGTTAAAATGAGTGTTTTTATCTCTTCTCTAAAAACGTCAAATCGGTCCACATTCGTATCATCTTCTCTTCTTCTCTTGTTTCTCAAGGCCACATAGTTGGGAGGAGTGATTTGTTCCATTTCCATACCAATTTGATCAATGGCAGATTCAGATAGTGACTTATCTCCAATAGGATTCATCCTTTATTATAATGAGTTTAACAGTTGTCTATTCGATAGTACAAGCAGATGTTGCAAAAAATGTGAATGCACTAAACAATGGAATGTCCGATAAGAAGTTCCCGATGGCTCAAGGTAAATAGGCCAATAGATAATTAGTGGGCGTGGCCACAGTCACCTGTTGCAATCAGCGCGGGCGCAGGACGCAGGTAGTGGTGGTAAGCGGGGCACGAGTGTGACGCTGGTAGGGATGTGGGCGTGGCGTAAATTCACAGCTTTAGGGGGATTCGATAAGATTAATATTGAGTGGGATCAATACCTTCGATAGTGGGGTGATCGGACGCAGTACCAGGAGCGCACGTAGTAATTAGATGGTTGCTTGACTACACTTCACTTTGTTTATGTTCTCCTAGTAGACAGTTATATTTATTTTTCGATTTGAATTTATTAAAATTAAAATACAAATAAAAATAAAGCACTCAGCACGTCTACACCTTATGGCGATCCGGGGGGAAGAGGGAATATGTCAATATGATCTAATTAAATTCGGGGCTAGATTGCCAAATAGTATTTAGTTTTACGGAAGGGCTCAAACGGACCGTAAGAGTATTCGACAAATGTCATACATGACTTTTACAACTATATTATCAAATTTTTAGTAGCCCGGCAACGCAATATAAAATTGTTTAAACATAAGCCCATACTTTGTGACACAATTATTTTGTCTAAAGGTAAGATTTAGCGTTAGTTCGAATTAATTTTCTTTAGTCCCGCTTTTCGTGTAGGTCGTTTTCGTGTTGCATAATTTCCCCACTTCCCCTGCCTTAAGTATTAATACTAACGGCTTGTATCTTGCAAAGACCTTAACTTGGGAAATCCAACGAGTGAGGTATGAGTCTCGGGGTGTTCAGCCTTCCTATTACTTCTATATGATAAAACCCAATACGTTTTAGGAAGGAAACAGCTGGAAGAGGCCTATGTGTCACAGGACACGCTGATTACCAAAAACGGGTCATAAGATGTATTAGATAAAGTTAGGTTATGTAACTAAAATAAGTGTCCGTTTCACAATGTATGGATAAAGTACCAAATAGCTATGCAACACAAAATTATTTGGAAGATAAATTGTGTTATTTGACACTTCATCGGACTCATAACTTATGATGGACTTCATGTGACGAATAGCGCTATCTGACAGTCGTGTAACGCAACAATAGTGTTTATCCTACCAATAAGTAAAAAATTGCAATTTGGAACTTATGTAGAACTTATCCGTACATTGTGAAACAGACCCTAAGTGTTAAAATATTATACCTACTAGGTGTCAGCAATAAAAATTTAATAATAATAATACGTTTTTGACATATAGAAGTCAAGCTTAGTACTAAGTCTCAGTTCTTAAAGTTCCGTTGGGTTAAAATAAAGAGATTGCGGGATAATAACCCTTATCAGAGAAGGGGAGAGGAGAGAAGGAGAAGGTTCGGAGGGCGGCTGCTCCCTTTGTATCCACACTTCGTCGACGCTGATGTCTATACCGCTGAGGTCCTGGTAGAATGTGAAAGAGGTGGTTTTAGTGGGTATAGCTCACCCGGTTCTCTAAGTAGCAGTGTGCCTGAAGTAAGTCTAGTCTTACACACCCCTGTTGGGTAAAAAAACGTAACGTGAAACACGATTTTAGGTTCATACGAAGAATACAAGTACACGTATAGGACATTAAAAAACATATGTTCTACAATCTATGAAAGCATAAACACAAACAGCGTGTGAAAAAACTCACTTGTCAAGTAATCTGTCAAAGCACTTAGGAGGTCCCGATTATTAATCGATATGAATATAGACCGAATTAACACCGATAAAATTTATTGATCGTGTATCGATTAAAGGCGAACGACGTCACATTATTCCATATTAATTGCAAAATATTCATCAAATGCTACATGATTTACGATCGCTATTAAGTTTATAGAATACGGCGTAAAAATAAACTTAATAACCTACTGTTTAATTTATAATCAGCTGTGTTCATTTTGCTGATACGTTTTAATAAAAAACCTGTAGCGCTACAGCCTTTTACCTCTGGGCCTCATATTTCTGTATCTTTCGTGATCATTTGTTTTCTTCTAATAGTCGACTATTTGGCCATTAAGCTGGTTTTCCACCGTACGTACAAGCGAGTGGTAAATGTACACGTAGATTAGTTCATAGCCGGGAATTGATCCTACGACATCAGGGATGAGAGTCGTAAGCTAACACTGCTTATACTGGGACTCCACTTTTAAAAGTTTAAACATAGAGTTTGATATCATATGTTTCTTATCCTGGATTGATACGCTGTTATATTTATTCTTCTTTGATTAAATGCAATTTGTGACAGAAAGCCGACATATGACGAATCATGTATTTGATTCCAGCGCCATACTTAAGATCCATGCAGTTTTTTGCTTCAAAGGTTCATTAGTGTATAAGTTTCGGGATAGCATCAAGGTCTTGGATTTTCTTTCAATGACATGTCTCCACTACACGCATACATAAGAAACGACTTGACTGTCATCTGTTGTCTTTCTGTTTATCAAGTAGGATCATGATCCACTAGGAATCGAACCTTCGATCGAGTTAAACTTTGCATTATGCCATGGAAGCACAGAGGCTTCAAAGTTTATAGATTACTTTCATTGATTCTTCGGGTGGCTCATATCTATTTTTTAAGCATTATTTTATTTAAGGTACTAAAATTAGATTTATATACCAGTATGGATCTATGTAATCTAAAGTAAATAAATGATTATTTTGTTACTAATAATAATCTAAATAATAGTTTTTATATAGGAAACAATTCCTCTTATTTTATTTTAATTTTAAGTACCCGTAGTAATAGAATATTAAGGCTACTGACGATATGCGAATAATGAAAAAATAATTTATACATGATTTATAGCTTACTCAGTCCTCAGCAAATTGGGCGTTTAACTTAATAACCCGCTCGCAACTCGATTCAGAAAATGGAGTAAAAATGCGAAAATCGCGATCAGAATCACCTTTATAACTCGAATTTTTTATCGATTTAATAATTAAACACTGGTTTGGCGTAATACAAATATGTGAGGTTTACGAGGTAATATTTATATTTAGCGGTATTTGTTCGGTACAAGACAGATAATTTGCTCTCGTATTTATATTATTATTTAAAGATTGCGTACGGTACCCCTTCGTGATTAAAGGTTAGTGGTTCCTGAATAAGTAGTCTTTGAGGTGATGTTAATAAGAACAGTCTGACAAAAATGTATCAACCCTTAGAACTTAGAATTAGTTACATATCTAATTTATGTTCTGGGAATATAACAAAACCACCAAATTAGAATATTGCTAAAAGTATCATCAAAACGTAATCTTACTTTTTAAACAATATTTTCTTTTAAGAAAACTTAAGTTGATTGAAATGTTAATACTTAAGAAAATTTAAGTAGTTTTGTCATCTGTCATCTGTCAACTGTAAAGTCAATTTCCTTTTTATACGTCAATAGACAAAATTATCAGCTTTCCTCTTTCATATAATGCTCATTTGCGCTGCGTGATTGTAATGGTTGACCGATAGGCCTGTAGCAACATATAAAAGGGACACAACAATTGTCACAACAACATCAGAAGCATGAGGTATCGCAATAAAAACAATTAAACAGCAATCCGGGCAGGCTGCGCCGTCGCCGAAACCATAATTGGCGGCCGTACATAACCCTTGTTTTAATGCTTACTGATCCTATTTTAGGGTTGCCACAAAATTTCATTTAAATAGAAGGCATTCAAGTGTATGAAACCTTTATATATTTTGGATTAGCTAAAGCCCGCGACTTGATATGAAATAGTGATATATGCACAAAGGCAACGTTGTATTTATTTATTGCAATACTTCTTTAATAAAACTCAAAAGATTTATTGGTATTAACAAAATTGTTTTCGTGAATCTCAAAATATTTATTCTTTAAGGAAAACCACGCTAGTATTGTTATTTAGTTTAAATCATGGATCCTGAGAAATAATGTAATTATACTGATTATGCCTTGTAGATAAATAAACCTAATAATTATCATAATTTAGTATAAATAATGATCGTATAAGAAATATATAGTAAAACATCAATTCCAGCAGAGACTGAATCTACTCATACACAAGCCATGCCAAGACACATTTCAATTAACAGCGGAGTGAGAATCTTAATAATCTTTGTAATATTGAAAGTGTCAACCCTAAACACTTTCCCATTGTTATCTAAGCCACAAAATAAGCCTTTCGCTGACCGACCCTTGAATTAGGGCTGTCGATACCTAAACCACAATTATGATAGCCACAACACATTGATATCGGTTGAAACAATATTGTATTATAAGGATTGAAGTGTTACTTTAATTTAGGCGCACATCAGAGACTGGTTAGTTTTTTGTGTTCGAGGTTTTTAATGGCTATAATTCAAGTTAGTAACTTATTTCTATAAAAAAATCTTTTAAAGAAGTCCAGTTCTATCCAGTTTATCATTAATGAAGCAGTGTAACCCTACTTTTTTTTAAAGAAAACAAACGGCGAATGCTGATGATGCCACCGTCCAGAACAGGCCAGCAACACTGCTGGAAGGCTCGCAAGCGTTACCTTTGTAAGTTAGTAGGATTGAAAGAACCAAAGTACAATTGGTTCGAAAATACTTCGATGGGTAGCTGGTTCCACAGAAAGTGTCTTAAAACATAGGAACGTTACATATTATACAATATGTTAGTACATTTTTACATAATTATAAGTGCCTGTGTTTGTAAATAAACACTGGACAGACTAAATGCTGCACCGATTTTTATGAAATTTTCGTGTGTGTTTCAGTGCATTCGAGCAATGCTGGCCTAGAGGCTCCAGCAGAACCCCGGCTGTGCACGAATGGACTTTCTTTCGATGTGCGCATTTAACATGTGCTCGAACTATGAAGGAAAACATCGTGAGGAAACCGACATGATCGACCGATCTTAGACAAAAAATCGACGGTG